TTTCCTTCGCCGCAGCGCTCTCTCGCTGCAGCAGCGCGCCGGCTCCTCCATTGACGCCGAGCAAGCGCCGTCGCCCAGCGCGCTCACCGCCGTGAAATCGCCACCTCCAGTTAGCGCTCAGCTCCGCCTTCACCTCCCCTAGCTATTCCATCTCGCCGTCGAGCCGGAGTACCCGAGGTAGTGGCCCCAATTGAGTTTCCGCCGCCACCACAACTCGCCGGAGTTGGAGCTCACCGTGGCTAGCACAGCACAGCTCCTCTCTTCCTTCCCTAGCTCCCGCATTATCTTCTCCGTCGCGCACTATTACTCGGGTGATGATGTCACCGTCCCCGCCGGCCCAGTCTGGCCGGAACGCGGCAGCGCACCGCCGTGCGCCATGGCCGAGCCGCCGAGCTCCGTGGCTGGGGTGCTTAGGGGTCAGTAGGGAGCGAGGTTAGAGTACCAATAGACGCGGTTCATCACGTAGGCCACGCCGGTGCCGTCGGTTTCGTCGGGGAGATCACCGTCGGCGAGCTCGACCACCGCCGCGCCGACGTGTGCCGTCTCCCCTGTTCTGTGGCAATGACACGGGGGTCCCGCGCGTCAGTCGCCGAGCCAAAGAGGGAGCCAGGCTTGGGCTACGCTGTGTCGTGGGCCGTCGGATCTTTTCGGGCCGGCCCAGTATTGCGTGAAGGAATTGTTTTCATTTATTCTTTATTATTTGAAATCTGAAATAGTTTGAAAAATGTTTGGTTGCTCAAATTTGCTCCAAATTTGTTGAAACAAATTTTTCTAGGTTCCTTATCACCAGATCTACTTGGGAAAATTTTTGCATGTCATTTTTGGGATACTTTTCTGTAGTAATTTATTTAATCATGGATATTGCTGATAACTTGAAAAATATGTGGAAAAATCTATAGTCTGCAGAAAAATATGATTTCAAGTTTGTTCATCTTCTTATGTCATGTACTTCCTAAGAAAAATATGTTTCATGCATGTGCTGTGGGAAAATTGTGAGGTGTAGTTCAAGTCCCTTTTATAGCTGATTTTTGTTATTTTTGCTAGAGAGCAAACTTTGTATAAAACATGCATGTGATAATTTTTGTACAGTCATTATATGCTATGAAGAACCTAGGAAAAATATTAATTCTGTTGTTTGACACTTTTCATAGTACAAAGTAATTTCATGCTCATTTTTATGCTATAGCTTGTCATTTTTGTGTAGGATAGTTTACTTATCCAAATGCCATGAAATTTTTATGGTAGTCTGTTTAGGGTAGTATTATGCTACTGTAATTTTCTCAGATTTTTAGGAGCATCAGAAATATATGTTGCTATTCAAACCTATTATTAATTAGGGTTTAAGCAAGTGTTGTTTTAAGTGTGATTAAGAAATTAGTAAAGCTTTGGTGTATCTTTGAAGCATTTCATAAGATATGTTAACTTAACATATTAGTAGTAGAAGAGAATGCAGTAGATGACATGTGCTTGTAGTATAGTTTCTTGGATGATGTTGACTACCTTGCATTTAAACATATCCATTGCATTCATCTCCTTCAATGCACCGTTTGCATAATCACTTACGCGCATACATCATACAGGATCGCAAACCGAGAACCCAGTCGTCATACCCGAGGAGCCCGAGGAGCAGCTCGAGGTGCAGCAGCAGGAAGTGCCAGAAGCCGACGAGGAGGACGTTGAGGAACTTCCGGAGTGCCCCGATCACCGTCCGAGCTCCTTCGAGAGAGGCAAGCCCCGGAGCATTTTTCTCCCGGTTTGCAATGATTTAATTAAATGCTTTACTTTAATTGATGCATTACGTTCAGGAGTTGTTTGCAACCGTTGCTGCATTATACCTTGCTTACCTTTGTTATACTATATCCTTGTTACCCTGGTATCCGCAGTCGAGTCAATGCTTAGCTGGCTTAGACCGGTAGAAGTCGGGTGATTTCCTGTCACCTGCGAGCTATAGGTGGTTACCTGGATCTGCTTGGATGACTATGAAGTCATGGTATAACTAAGTGTTAAATGAAGTTGAGACCGGACGGAGACTTGCAGTGTTTTGGACTGTAGTGTTTTCCGTCTGTGTCGATTAAGGACCGGCCGTTGTTGGGCCTCGAGTCATGTTGAACGCATGCCTTACATTTAGCTGGCCGGATAAAGTACCTTCCGACCGCGAAGCTGAGAGGTTTTTCGGGCCGAGTAAATTGCCCGCAGCGCACTGTGCCGAAGCAGGTGTGGTAGGACACGGGGGCGGGATGATAAGGCCAAAGTGCAGTCGGTCGGCCCCCGGGTACATGTGGTTCCTGGCAAACTCGAGATTCCTGGAAAGTTGACTCGGTGATCAATATCTCACTTTAGCGGGTGAGTGAGATTTGTGTAAGGAACAAATCACCAGCTGGTTAGGAATCGATTCGAATCGCCATCGCTCCTGGATAGTGAGCACTTGACTTGAGTTACTTCATCGTAGTAAATGTTATGGAACACTTGGACAGTTATAGTGAATATGACTGTATGGAAGTTGTTTAATGATCATTGGTTATCATTATCTGCTTAATCACATGTTTACTCTAGTATAGGTGCAATTCTAGTTGACAGGTTAATAATAATTAACTTGGCAATAATGCTTTTAGAAAGGTTCTTGAAATGCTAAAATTGCTTCTTTTTGCAAATGAGTCAGCTACCCTACTATAAAGCCCTTCATAATCCTTGGTGTCAATTATTTTCGGTTATGTCGGGTAAGTCTGGCTGAGTACCTTCTCGTACTCAGGGTTTTATTCCCACTTGTTGCAGATGGGCAGATGTATTACGGCTACTGTATCAACTGCCTGTATCCTGCGATGGGTGATGCTTAGGACCATGGGCATGGTCATTTCTTACGTCTCATCTGATGCTTTTGTTGGAGATGATCATTCGCTGGCACTATATTTAAACTCCGCGTGAGTGTGTGTGTGGTTTGAACAAATGACTTCCGCTACTTTTATTTCGAACTGGTTTGTAATAACTATGTTGAAACTCTGATGTATATGAGATTGCGAACTTTTATGTAATATGTGATGGTGACCGCTAAACTTATTACGATCATGGCTGGGACACGAGTTGGTTTGAAATCCTTCGTGATTTCACGGACTACCGAGTTATACGGGCTTAAGTTTGCTCAATCGTCTGCTCTGGTGGATGATTTTCTTACTTAATTTCATATAATTGGTCGGTTCTGTTACAGAGAGCGAGTTTAGTTTTGCCATCTACTCTGCAGAGCTCTGGCCAATGCCGGTGCTTGTGCTGTGTGTGTACTCTGTTGTCCCTCCCTTCTTTTACCTCTAGCCATAGTGTGTGGTCGAACAACGATAGTCGTGGTCGGCAACGTTGGTGAGTGGTCGACTCACCCGTGCCGGTGATCCTGTGGGCTAACATTATGTACATGGATGCTATGGAAATAGAAAAAAGATGTTCCTAGCATTACGCAAAGAAGGGATTGGGCGAAGGAAAAGGGAACATGCCTTTCCAAAATGCTTGCGGTGTTTTCAACGGAGGTTGTACTGCCTAGCTGTAGGTGGAGAGCACGACGAAGTCGACGACACTGCCAGTGTGGGCAACGTTGAGCACCAGCGGATGAAAGGTCCCTTAATTCTCTACAGCGTAAACATAGAGCATAATGTTTAGGTTCAACAAAATATAATGCATGAACAACAGGCGATAGTACTCTTAAAACCGTCTACCAAGTTGTGCATATAAACATTATAAACCATACAAGATTATTATTTGTAAACTAGGCAACAAGGACATATGAACTCAAATTTGTAGCCGCCAACAGATATACACATAGAAATAGGACGTTATCAAAATACAAATGGGGTACAAACTCAAGAAAGCAATTACAACAACTAAGTTAAAACAAATATAACAATTCGAGAGGAGAGTAAGCCAAACTCACCACTAATGGTAGCATATTTGAAAGATAGCTCAAATCAAAGGAAACGGCGTCGATGGAGGCGGGTTCGGGGTGGGAGGCGGAGCTCAATGTCACCGAGGCTGTCGACGGCGAGACTCGGCATCACGGCGTACAGAGGCGGACGGGGACCGATCCGCTGACCAACGACGGGGCCTGGCGACGCGGCGGTCACGACCGTCGAGACTCGCGCGCAGAGACGCGGACGAGCGGCGAGACTGTGGCAGAACCCTAGCCACGCAAAGCGAAGGGGAAAAGAGGAGGGAGTGAGTGGCACGCAGTGCCTGGCGTCGCTTTTTGTCTAGCCGTTCGGCTGGGGCTGGGCTAATAAGCCCAAGCACATCCGTTTTATGCCAACCCAACAGGGTGCATGTGCAGTCTGGTAACAATCCTACAATGAACCACCTAGTTATTGTCCTCAAACTGGCGTGTGCAGCCCAAGTCCAGGTCCAGTAGTTAGTTGGATTTTAATTTGTGATGCTGCCCTGAACTGAAACAGCGCACTCGCAGCTTGCCTGGCAGTTATCCTCGCCACGTAGTCATGTAGGGAAGATAGTACATCATTGAACTGCTACCTGTGTTTTTTTTCTACTGTGCTAGAGCACAATGCAAACTCAAACACATTTCATTTCAACAGGAAAACAGAAGGTCCAAGAAATGGTGGAGAGCTAGCCTGGAGCTCTGTCTGCTAAATAAATTCTTCAGCTTGCAGTCTATAGGACTTGCTCTCTGCTCAAACTCGATCAGGGCCTGCGATCAGCTCCTTCCTTGCAGTAGTAGCCCTCTCACCTTTGAGCACTTTATTTATTGGAAGATTAGCTTTACTGGAGAATACATTCTCCAATCAGACGACTTTATTTACTCACTAAGAAAGGTTTATGCGATACATTCATCAATCAGACGACTTCACCGGAGATTAATTTGCTTCAGAAAGGGTGCCGCAAGAACGACCAATCATTTGCAGATTCTGGAAACGATACTACGAGGAAGTCAGCATCATTGGAATTTCCAAAAGTAAAAAAGAGAATTCATTAAGCATGTTGATATAACGAACCTTGGTTGCAACTTTCATCTAGTCCTCACTTCTCAATCTGAAGCACTCCAGCTTACTCATTAATGCTGCAATTCTCCCTGTAGGCACCGGCTCTGCAGGCCCTGATCATAGATGATGTTATAATTTATATATGCATGTAAATGAATGTGGAATTAGAGACATTGCTGGTCAAGTGCCATGGTCCACCGTTGTCCAAGTATTATTACTATTATTATAGTCTCCTAAATTCGTATGTAGGGACCAAAAAGTGACATATTATATAAAAAAAGATGTCTATGTAAATATTAATGTGGCCGGCGTGTTGATTCCTAAACTTTGCATGTGCGTACGTATTTACCCATCTGTGTATCAATGCGTGCACTTCATGGCTCACTAGATCTTCTGTACATGGTTGAATAGATGTTCTGCACACTTCATTATTTTAAGATTTTTTATTTATCTGTAAATCGTGTCACGACTTTGTGATAACTAATACTAGAATAATAACAATCGAGCTCCGGGCCATTTATATTAAATTAGTTAAAATGAAACCAAGAAATTAAGTAGAGATTACCTTGAAGAAGATGGGGGTCTAGAGTTTTCTCCTCGAGGTGATCCAGACGTTGCTGTAGGCTCGGTGGAAGCTGCTTTATACCATCACAGAATTGAATCTCAAGAACTCTGAGAGATGAGTATACTTGATGAGGTCCATTCGGTAAGGATTGCAGGCATCCACAGTCACAAATCTGGAGTTCTTCCAGTGACGGGACCTCTCCTGACACGGAAACAAGACTGCCGCATTGCCCAATCTTCAAGGTCTTGATGGACGGAGGAAGGTTGGCAACCTCTGTCAAGCCACTGCAGTCATTTATCTCTAGAGATTCTAGGCATGGAAAGAAGCAATGGTTACTGCCGGTTGATGATGACTGCTTCGGTACTACAGATGTAGATGCTCCATCGGACATGGACTCTGGTGTGGAATCAAGCTCCACTTGCTCTGTATGAATGAATGAGATACAACACAAGTGTAAAATAAACAATGTTTTCATGGTAGTGTGACATGACAAAACTAATTTGTACATTATAGAACAGGTAATTTGGAAAGCAAAACGGCCTGGCGAGATAATTGTAAATAAGAGAAAAAAAAAAGTTTGTGATTCCGGTGTCGGATTGCTCAAGTGGAGGTATCAATTGTTCCTGGTGTTAATATAATTTGTACGTGCACGAAAGGTGTAATCCCAAAAGTTTAAAAATTTTAGGTGGCACAAGTGCACAAGTAGCTAGAGGTATCAGTGGCGTACTCTACTACAGCGAAGCATATATATCTGTATGCATGCATGGTTGACTAGATGTTGTGTACACATCATTATTATTTTATGCTTTTATTATCACTAATCGTGCCACATGTTGGGATAATTGATAAAATGATGATTAAACCAAGAGTAGCGTTTTAGGCAACAACAATCGAGATCCTCTCTCTGTTCATTTATATTAAATTAGTTAAAATGAAACCAAGAAATTAAGTAGAGATTACCTTGAAGAAGATGGGGGTCTAGAGTTTTCTCCTCGAGGTGATCCAGACGTTGCTGTAGGCTCAATACAAGCTGCTTTATACCATCGCAGCATCGAATGCTAAGAACTCTGAGAGATGAGTATACTTGATGAGGTCCATTCGGTAAGGATTCCAGGCTTTCGCAAGACCAAACATTGAGTTCTTCCAGCGACGTGACCTCTCCTGAAAGGGATACAAGACTGCCACAATACGAAATCTTCAAGGTCTTGACGGACGGAGGAAGGTTGGCAACCTCTGTCAAGCCACCGCAGCTCCATATGTCTAGAGATTGTAGGCATGGAAAGAAGCAATGATTACTGCCGGTTGATGATGACTGCTTCAGTACTACATATGTAGATGCTCCATCGGACATGGACTCTGGTTTGGAATCAAGCTCCACTTGCTCTGTATGAATGAATGAGATACAACACAAGTGTAAAATAAACAATGTTTTCATGGTAGTGTGACATGCCAAAACTAATTTGTACATTATAGAACAGGTAATTTGGCAAGCAAAACGACCTGGCGAGATAATTGTAAATAAGAGAAAAAAAAGTTTGTGATTCCGGTGTCGGATTGCACAAGTGGAGGTATCAATTGTTCCTGGTGTTAATATAATTTGTACGTGCACGAAATGTGTAATCCCAAAAGTTTAAAAAATTTAGGTGGCACAAGTGCACAAGTAGCTAGAGGAATCAGTGGCGTACTCTACTACAGCGAAGCATATATATCTGTATGCATGAATGGTTGACTAGATGTGTACACTTCATTATTATTTTAAGCTTTTATTATCACTAATCGTGCCACATCTTGGGATAATTGATAAAATGATGATTAAACCAAGAGTAGCGTTTTAGGCAACAACAATCGAGAACCTATCTCTGTTCATTTATATTAAATTAGTTAAAATGAAACCAAGAAATTAAGTAGGGATTACCTTGAAGAAGATGGGTATCTAGATCTTTCTTCTCGAGGTGATCCAGACGTTGCTGTAGGCTCGGTGGAAGCTGCTTTATACCATCACAGAATTGAATCTCAAGAACTCTGAGAGATGAGTATACTTGATGAGGTCCATTCGGTAAGGATTGCAGGCATCCACAGTAACCAATCTGGAGTTTTTCCAGTGACGGGACCTCTCCTGACACGGAAACAAGACTGCCGCAGTGCCAAATCTTCAAGGTCTTGATGGACGGAGGAAGGTTGGCAACCTCTGTCAAGCCACCGCAGCTCCATATGTCTAGAGATTGTAGGCATGGAAAGAAGCAATGATTACTGCCGGTTGATGATGACTGCTTCAGTACTACATCTGTAGATGCTCCATCGGACATGGACTCTGGTTTGGAATCAAGCTCCACTTGCTCTGTATGAATGAATGAGATACAACACAAGTGTAAAATAAACAATGTTTTCATGGTAGTGTGACATGCCAAAACTAATTTGTACATTATAGAACAGGTAATTTGGCAAGCAAAACGGCCTGGCGAGATAATTGTAAATAAGAGCAAAAAAAATTTGTGATTCCGGTGTCGGATTGCACAAGTGGAGGTATCAATTGTTCCTGGTGTTAATATAATTTGTACGTGCACGAAATGTGTAATCCCAAAAGTTTAAAAAATTTAGGTGGCACAAGTGCACAAGTAGCTAGAGGTATCAGTGGCGTACTCTACTACAGCGAAGCATATATCTGTATGCATGCTTGGTTGACTAGGTGTTGTGTACACTTCATTATTATTTTAAGCTTTTATTATCACTAATCGTGCCACATGTTGGGATAATTGATAAAATGATGATTAAACCAAGAGTAGCGTTTTAGGCAACAACAATCGTGATCCTCTCTCTGTTCATTTATATTAAATTAGTTAAAATGAAACCAAGAAATTAAGTAGAGATTACCTTGAAGAAGATGGGGGTCTAGATTTTTCTTCTCGAGGTGACCCAAACATTGCTGTAGGCTCGATAGAAGCTGCTTTATACCATCACAGCATCCAATGCTAAGAATTCTGAGAGATGAGTATACTTGATGAGGTCCATTCGGTAAGGATTCCAGGCTTCGGCAAGACCAAACATTGAGTTGTTCCAGCGACGTGACCTCTCCTGACACGGAAACAAGACTGCCGCATTGCCAAATCTTCAAGTTCTTGATGGACGGAGGAAGGTTGGCAACCTCTGTCAAGCCATGACACCATTTTATCTCTAGAGATTCTAGGCATGGAAAGAAGCAATGATTACTGCTGGCTGATGATGATGACACCGGCTTCAGTACTACAGCTGTAGACACCGTGGATTCATCCTCATTGCTGGACGAGGACGACCCTGCAGCAATCAATGATGATGACGTTTCCAGGCCCGTCGTGTCCTGCTGCTCACCGAATGCAATGGATTTGAGACTTGTGCACTGCTCAATACGTAACGTCTTGAGAGATGTCGATAGGTTTGGGACCTGTACCAAAGATCCACAGCCACGTATCACTAGGGACTCCAGACGTGGCAGGAGGGTTCCACTCCATTGTACGAGAGCAGATTGCTCATGAGAAGCTTCATCTTCCGTGAGTCCTGTCAGTTTGCTGCACCATACAATCTCTAACGTCCTCAAGGATACTAGGCCCTGGAACAATTTCTCTGGCCAGTAGACTAGAGCATCGCACTGAGCAATTTTCAAAGTTGCTAGCTGTCCAAAACATTTCCGTAGCGCCAGTGCACTCGAGCCAGAGAAGAAAAGGTCACACCCTCTTAAGCACAGATCTCCCAGGGGGGATGCTTGCTGTCTACAGTTGGATAGTTCTACTTTTCTTAGCTTCGGTGCTTCAGGAAAAGTAGTCAACTCTGGGCAACCAAAAACTTCTAGTTGCTCAAGCCAAGGAAATGTTACTTGTTCTCCTAAAGATCCTTGGACCGCCTCCCATCTGTGAAACTTGTCCAGACCACTTAACCACATTCCCTTCAATGCTGGAAACGGAGAGCGGCACTCAGCGCCATCTCTACCGGATGATTTTTTAATCACCGACGCTTTTGGTAATGCTAAGAGCTTTTGACAAAGCACGATCCTTAGATTCTCAACCTCAGGAAATAATATCTGCTCCTCTCCTTGCACCTCATTCCTATCCCACCACATCGTAAAATTTGGCATATTATACAAGGCCATCATCTTCAGTTTCTGAAACTTGGACGGGGCACCACCGCTGAACAAGCAATGTAAATTTCGCAGGTTGCTCAGGTGAAGAAACTGGAGGGACGGTAACTGCCAGAGTGCAGGAAGCTTCTCGAGATTTTGGCAATTTTTTAACTTGAGCTCCACCATGCCTTGCAGCTCAAGCATCCATGTTGGAATACCATTGCTACTGCAGCAATAGATCCTCAGAGCCTTTAGCCCATCATGAGGTCGGAGGCCTTCCAGCACCTCCTTATGTGCCTCCTTTTCATTATCGTCAGACCATCTTAATGTTAGTTCTTCCAGCCTTTTCTTGTCCCAAAGTTTTGCTGCTTTTGCATCTGCTCCTGTCGCATTTTCAAGCCTCCTCAGCTCCAGCTGGCCACCAAGGTCCAAGTTCTTCAGCGCTTCCATGTTACTGCAACCCGAGCCAGTACCTAATACAAAGCATGTAAGCATTTGCAGGGAAGTGAGGTGTCCGAGCTCTGCAGGCATGCTCGTTAACTTCCGACATCCATGAGCATAGAGGTGACGAAGGGCAGTCATATACTTCATTGCCTTTGGAAGTTGTTCAAGACGTGTACAATAAGATAGGTTCAATGTTTGCAGATGATACAGGATGGTAATGTCTTCAGGAAGTGCTACAATATCACTTCTTGAGAGATCAAGATACCTTAGGTGATGAAGATATTTCGGCTTTAGAAATCGACCTTGCCATGTCTTTAAGGCTCGGACAGGACTCAAATATTTTGATAATTTCTGCACATCTGCTTTTACGAATCTATCACATATTAGTGTCTGGATAGCTGGAGACCCTTTCTCTATGGAAGCATTCAAAACATTTTCTTCAATGTAACCTGATAGAAATAAATGGCGAGCGGAGTATGGAAAATCCTCACTTTGGCTCAGTTTTGTATCTATTGCAGCACATTCTTTTCCCATTGAATCCTGTGCAACATCATGCATAAGGTCATGGATTTTACAAGTAATTTGTCTGTAAAATTTGTCTTGCTGCACCTCCTGAAAAAATGACCTTTGAGCTAGCTCATTGAAAATTTGTTTACCAATGTCTTCAGGACACACTCTTTTTTGCTCCGGAATAAAACTATTAGCCATCCATAGTCGGATCAACATTTCCACATCAATCTCATGATCCTTAGGAAACATAGCACAAAAGGCAAAGCACTGTCGCATATGTGGTGGCAAGCAATTGTAACTGAGCTTGAGTACTGGTAAGATTCCATTTTCGTCATCACAAATTGTGCTTCGGTTTAATACCGCCTCCCATTCTTGCACGGTATTCTTAGTACGAAGTACAGAGCCCAATGCTGTAGCAGCTAAAGGAGAACCGGAACATCTCTTTGCAACATCACCAACCATATTGAGTAGCTGATCATCAGGCTTTTGTGCTTGCACACTAAATGCTTCTTTCTTGATAATTTTTTCTATGTAGCTTTGTTCCAAGTGCTTGATCTTATGGGCTTCGATTGTCCCCATGAACCGAGCAATTTTTTCATCACGAGTTGTTGTCAAAACTGAGCTACCGGGGGCATCATGATGAAGGTAGGACCTCAACTTATCCCACTTGTTGGCCTCACGGTTCCATACATCATCTAGTACAAGGAGATACTTCTTCCCGCTCACTGCACTTTTAAATTTTTCCATTGGTGAACCAACAGTCATTTGACAACCATTCTTTTCAGCCTCTTTCACTATTGTTTCAAACAGGGAATCCACATCAAAGTTTTCCGACACACACACCCAGATCTGAACCTGGAAGTGCTTCTGAATGGCGGAGTCATTGTAAACAAGCTGCGCTAATGTGGTCTTGCCCATCCCACCCATTCCTACTACAGGGAGGACTGTGAGACCCACATTGTCCCCTTGGCCAAGCAATGCATCAACAATCTCCTTCTTCTCTTTTGCTCTTGAGTCACTTGCAATGTTCACATAATTGTCTGTCATGTTAGGATCTGTCTGCCTCCACTTCATGGACATTGGTGGCTGTGGTTTGAATTTGAACCTAAAGGTATTCATCTCTGCTATGAGGACATCAATTTCTTGCAAAATCATACGGAGCTTGTTTGCCATCCTACGACGGAAGTCAAACCGATTGTAATAAGGGAAGAGCTTTATGACATCCATACCGAACTCCTTGCAGTGCCCCTCTGCCTTTGCCTTGCGGCGGAGTGCCTCGTACTTGAACTCGTCAAGGACATCGTTCGCCTTGTAGGCCACGGTCCGGAGCTCCTCAAGCCAAGCTTTCGCCCCCTCTCTGTTTTTTGCTGCCTGCTCCTCGGCGTCAGTGATGACGTCCAGGACGGCGGGCAGCTTGCGCTTGAGGAGCTTGTGCTGCTCCTCCATGCCCTCCATGACCTTGTACTGATCCAGGAGGTAGCTGGAGGCCTTCTCCTTCACCATGGACACCAGCGGCCCGACCACCATGGTGGCCAGTACCTCCGCCATCGGAACTCCTGTAGCTCGATCAGAACACGGGTGCAGGGTGCAAGGAAGCACAGCTGCTGGGTGGTGAAGGGAGTGGATGTGGATCTGATGAGGAGCTGCTTTGGAGGAAGATGTAACCAGTAACGCGTGCGCTGATTTTCTATTAAGTTGCTATCAGCCAAGTGGCTCTGCTTGGTTAGTTGCATCGACCAGAACAATATGCATGAGTGATATAGAAGTATGGTTTGCTTGTACCAACGGGACTAACCATGTGGGAGCACGTGAACTCTGCAATTTAACGCATCGGCATGCTAAATGAGTAGTAGCACACCGCATCTCGAGGACAGATGGGAGCATCGATCTTGGTTCTTTCATATTACAATTTGCGAGGTTTAAATAATCGAATGCACACTATCGTAATGTAATTTGAAAACACCCACTTGCTTGTATCTCGGGTCCTGTGGAAAAAAAAACAGTATAATTCTGTTATATATGCATCACTTCCATCTGATGTTTTTTTAACTGTGTACTTCCTTTTCGTAATGATAGATCTAATATTTCTGTACCAGACCAGAGACCACCACGCAGCATAAAAACAGAGAGCTAATTCTAGGCTTTCAGGTGAGGCGCGTTATATATGGGCAGCTGCAAACCCACAAAGGCTGTCCGTTAACTCAACCTCACGAATTAGCATGTATTAGCTTAATTACAGGCTCTGATATACTGTAGCCGGCCTAATGTACAGGTGAGATCAGCTCCTTCCTTGCAGTAGTAGCCCTCTCACCTTTGAGCACTTTATTGCAATGCAAGACTAGCTTTAAAGAAAGGTTATGCAATTTATTCTTTAATCAGACGACTTCACTGGAGATTAAGCTAATTTGAGGTGCTCCCTGTATGCTGACGATGCAGCGATTTTCACATACCCTGCAAATACAGAGTTGGATCATCTACTAAAGATACTAAACTTCTTTGGAGAATGCTCGGGGCTAAAAATCAACATCTCCAAGACGGAAAATTTCCCTATAAAAATGGACAACACAAAGGTCACTCAATTACTTCAAAATTTCCCCGGCAAGATTTGCAGTTTCCCATGGAGATATCTAGGACTTCCTCTACACGTCCGGAAACTACGCAGGGTAGAGGTACAGCCTTTGATAGACAAAATAGGAGCCAGACTGCCAGGTTGGAAGGGCAGGTTCTTGTCCTCAGCGGGGAGAGAGACTCTAGTAAAAACAGTTCTATCATCTCAACCAATTTATCACATGACCGCATTCCCAGAACAAAAATGGTTAATCAGAAAGATCGATCGCTTGAGAAGGAGTTTCCTATGGAGGGGTGAAACCCCAGACAAGGTATATGGTGGGCATTCCATTATCAACTGGCCAACAACATGTAGACCAAAAGTGAAAGATGGTTTAGGGGTTCTGGACCTTGAACGTTTCGCAAGAGCATTGAGACTACGATGGTTATGGTATCAATGGAAGCACCGAGATAGAGCTTGGAACAAGCTTGACCTTCCGGTAGATGACCGGGACAAGGAGTTATTTGTGGCTTCGACAGTGGTGACAGTAGGTGATGGCAAGTTGGCTAGGTTCTGGACGTCGTCTTGGGTCGGTGGGCGAACACCGAAAGCGATTGCACCAACATTGTTCAAGAAATCAAAAAGGAAAAATCTCACGGTACAAAAGGCCTTAGAAGATAACCGCTGGATATCACATGTCATTCCATTAGGCACTGCACAGGAAATAAGAGAATACGTAACTCTTTGGGAAGAGGTGAGCCAAATCCAGCTAATAGAGAATAAAGAGGACAGCATCCGTTGGCGTTGGACGGTGGATGGGGAATACACAGCCAAAAGTGCCTATTGTATTCAATTCCAGGGCACATTCAGCAAACTGAAACTTCAACCGATTTGGAAAGCAAAGACGGAACCCAAATGTAGATTCTTTGCTTGGACTTTGCTGCATAAAAAAATCCTAACGGCAAACAATTTGATTAAAAGAAATTGGCCAAATGATCCAGTATGCAAGCTTTGTGGTATTGACCCGGAAACACCGACACATCTTTGCAAGGACTGCACTTTCTCAAGGCAAGTTTGGTCCTTCATCAAGCGATGGTTCAGCCTATTGATGATTGATACTGTCCGAATGATAGGATCCCTGCACAAATACTGGCGAAAGTGTAGAATTAAGACAGACAAAGATCATAGAAAGGCGTTTGATGGCATTATGATCTATTTTTTGTGGAATTTATGGAAGGAAATGAATCGAAGAACATTTCAGAACAAGTCGCTGCAGCCTAGCCAGGTGGCACTCCTTTGCAAGGAAGATATAGAGCAATACCAGTTGGCAACAAGATTTCATGATGGACCACAACAGGAGTAGTTCTAGTATTTGTTGGTCACTGTTTCGGTTGGTCTAGTTTTGTGTTTTTTCGGCTTCAAGGTGTTTTTCTAGACTTTAAGTTGTCATTCAGGTGGGTATTTAGTAGGGTTGTTGGCCGGTGTGCCGTGGTGGCGGTGAGCTTGGTCTCCCGTTGTTTATTGTAATTCTTTTTTCTTGTTCCTTTTTGCTCGTCTAATAAAAATCCGGCAAATCTCTTGCCGCCTTTCTAAAAAAACTTCACTGGAGATTAATTAGCTTCAGGAAGGTTGCCGCAAGAACGACCAATCATTTACAGAGCCTGCAAACAATCCTACGAGGAAGTCAGCTTTAAGAGCTAGCATCACTGGAATTTCCAAAAAGATGAAGGGCAGTCATCAAGCATGCTGATATTACGTACGAACCTTGGTTACAACTTTCATCTAGTCCTGACTCCTCGATCTGAAGCACCCCAGCTTATTCATTAATGATGCGATTCTCCAAGTAAGCCCTGATCATAGATGATGTTAGAATTTATTTATGCATGTAAATGAAGGTGGAATTAGAGACATTGCTGGTGAAGCGCCATGGTCCACCGTCCAAGTATTATTACTATTATTATAGTCTCCTAAATTCGTATATGTAGGGACCAAAAAATGACATATATACAAAGATATGAGTTAAATGCACCATGGGCCCTCGAACTTATAAGCGTGTGTCACATAGGTCCATAAACTTTGAAAATATATTTCTGTGTTCCTAAACTTGTTAGGTGATGCACCGCAAGCTCATGTCAGCCATGTGGACACTTTTTTTTTTTTTGCTGATGTGGCATGCTATCCTGGCATGTATTTTTTCATTTAGCCCCTCGCTTTTATTTTTCTCATAAAAAATAGACCCTACCTCCTCTCTCTTATCTCCCACGGCAGCGCCATGTCTGTGCACTCCGCGGGGAACAGGTGCCCACACGCGGACACGCCGGCAACGGCCGCACCCTCTCGCCGGCCCCTACGTCCTCCTGTCATACACACCGCGTCAACGAGGCCATACACCGTGCGGGCACGTGCGGTTGGCGGCGTCACCACCGTCGTGGGCAGCGCACGGAGCCGCTCCAAATGCCGCTGACCGCCGGGAGACGCAGCCAGCAGGACTGAACACCACCACCGCGCGGGCGAGGGCGCGGGCCTTGACGACGAGCCGCTCCATGTGCGGGAACGCCTGCATGCAGTCAATCCTTCCAGTTCCCGGTTTGGTTGGAACTGTAACGTACGTACTAGTAGTAGTTGTAGCCATAGTCGTCAGCGAAACAAAACCCGGGGATGAGAATGAAAAGGGCCGGGCCGCAAGAACGCTGTTCCCGCCTGGCTGCTTAGCTTGCTGCGTCACGCAACGCATACGGTACACTCTGTGCCTGCACTGCACAGTGCACTGCACACTGCAGACGCCCGGCCGCTCGCCCAGCTGGCCGGCACATACACCGCGCAGGCCGCCGGGGTTCACGCGAGTCACGCCGCGCTCCGCGGCATGCATGCATGCGGCCACTAGCAGTGGCGCCGAGAGTGGCGTTATATTTACCAGAGATGGAGCTCACGAGGATAGGGTGTGTGGTCGTGGCGCGACTCCTTCGTCCTAGCTACTCGCACCATTAGCCTCTTTCGCTGGCCGTCCGGCCTCGTTAGCACCAGTTAACGATCTAGAGTCAGTATTGTCAAGGCCTGCGCCCTCGACGGCGCAGTCGCAGTGGTATAGTGTTCAGCCCCGCTGGCTGCGTCTCTCATAGTGCGCGGCAGATTGAGCGGCGGCTCCTGCGCTGCCCACGACGGTGGCGACGCCAGCCGCATGCGCCCCGTGTGGCATGTGGCCTCATTGATGCGGCGTGTATGCCGGAGGACGTTGAGTCCGGCGAGACGGCTCGGCAGCCGTCGGTGTGCATCGACATGCCACTGCCGTGGGGATGAGAGAGTAGAAAAGGGTCTATTTTTTTGAGAAAAATAAAAGCGAGGGTTTAAATGAAAAAATACATGCCAAGCTAGCATGCAACATCAGCAAAAAAAAAAAAAAAATGTCCACATGACTGACATGGGCCTGTGGTGCATCACCTAATAAGTTTAGGGATCTAGAAATACACTTTCAAAGTTCATAGACCTAAGTGGCACACGCTTACAAGTTCGAGGACCGCTGGTGCATTTAACTCCAAAGATATCTATGTAAATATTAATGTGGCCGGCGTGTTGATTCTTAAACTTTGCATGTACGTACGTATTTACCCATCTGTGTATCAATGCGTGCATTTCGTTTCATGGCTCACTAGATCTTCTGTACATGGTTGAATATATGTTCTGCACACTTCATTATTTTAAGGTTTTTTATTTATCTGTAAATCGCGTCACGTCTTGTGATAACTAATACTAGAATAATAGCAATTGAGCTCCTGGCCATTTATATTAAATTAGTTAAAATGAAACCAAGAAATTATGTAGAGATTACCTTGAAGAAGATGGGGGTCTAGAGTTTTCTCCTCGAGGTGATCCAGACGTTGCTGTAGGCTCGGTGGAAGCTGCTTTATACCACTACAGCGTTTAATCTTAAGAACTCTAAGAGATGAGTATGCTTGATGAGCAGGCCCATTCGGTAAGGATTCCAGGCTTTCGCAAGACCAAA